TAAACTATGGTCTTCTTTTTCTCATTACTAAAGATAGATCCCTAAAAAGAAAGGCAAATAAAGATAAGTTCTAAAGATGAAATTATTGAATATAAAAAATCATTAATATATTTAGAGAGTAAAAAATAAACTGGAAAAATGTATAAATAAGTAAAATTCAGAAAGCAATTAAGAAATTAGAAAAAAAAAGTAAAAAATCTTGAAAAATATTTAATAAGATAAAATTAATTGAAACTAGTTTTAAAAGAATTAAGTTAAAGTATTTAAAGAAAAACAAAACAAGTAAAAAAAAACGAAGAGAAAAAAGAAAAAGGAAAGTGATAAATAGTTTAGTTAATTGATTTTGTAATTTTTTGTAATTTTTTAATAAATTTCATGAAATTTGTTAACCTTTTTAAATATTTATCAAATTTTAATACTGAATTTGTAACTTTTGCCAAATTTTTTATTACAGTATACAATTTTTTTTTATTACAATATATAAATTTTTTTTTGTTATAATATATAAATTTTTTAAATAGTATATCAAAATTTTTTTATAATATTGTTGAATTTTGTGTCAAATTTTTTTGTTGCAATATATCAAAAAATTTTTTGCTAATATTTTTGATATCAAGTAACAACAATTAAAAATGATTTATTAATATTTTTATTATTATATTTTATCAAATTTGACATAATTCGATTGTCAAATAATATAATTTTAATTAATATTAAAGAAAAAATAAAATTTAATTGAACCTAATATTTTAATTAATTTATTCTCATATATAATATTATTTAAAGTTTATCATAAAACTCTTTTCTGTAGATTTCTGATCATTACTTTCAAAAAAATGTTTCTTCAAAACTCTATGTTTTAAAAATAATAAAACTTTAAAACTTTTTTTAAAAAATATCTACTTTGTTTAATAGTATTTATACTTTACTCTTCTTGTTTATTTTTTCTTTTCAAAAATCTTATATCTAAAAAGTTAATAACAAAAAAGCTTTTCTAGAAAAAAAAAAACAGACAAAAAAATATCCTTATCCTTTTCTTATAGAGGTTTTAAAGTTTAGAAAGAAGTGTAGACCAATAACTTCATATCAACCTGGAAAACTGACATTAATATTACAGGTAAAAATAACTTTTTATTTAGTGCGCAACAGATTTTTTAATATTTTGAAGAATTTTATCTATTTTAACTTAATCTTAAATTTTTTGTTACATCGGATTTTGGATAAATTAATCGGTTGAAAATTGAAATTGGTTGCTTCATAGTTAATAGAAATATAAACAAAAATATATATGATATAGGACCTAAATATATTTCTTAAGATTCATAAAAACCTTAGATCTATTATAAGTTATTGACTATTTATGTAAATAGATAAATATCATATAAACTATGGTCTTCTTTTTCTCATTACTAAAGATAGATCCCTAAAAAGAAAGGCAAATAAAGATAAGTTCTAAAGAAAGAGGCAGAAATAAAAGTCAAATATCTCTCACTAGTAAATATTAAAATTTTTAAATTAATAATTATAAAAAAACTACTTACAATTGTTCTCTATTATCCAAATCATTGATTTATAGCATTTTCTGACTTTTATTCCTATTAAAGTGAAGAGCTATAAATTTTAATTTGTGAAATTTTATATGCTAAATACTTTAGGGACCTATTATTAAAGATAGGAACAAAAGTCAAATATCCTTTACTAGAAAACATTAAAATTTTTAAATTAATAATTATAAAAAAACTATCCATAATTGTTTTCTATTATTTAAATAATTAATTTATAATATTTCCCAACTTTTGTTCTTATTAAAGTGAAGAATTATAAATTTTGTTTCTCAAAAAGAGACATAAGTAATCTGTAAATTTTTATATACTAAATACTTTAGGGACCTATCATTACTTCCTACTCCCTAAAAGTATCTGGCTATGGAATGAGTATTTTTTTAAAGTCAAAGTTTGATAAAAGAATTATTGTTAGATATTACTTCTTTTTTCCTATTCTTTCTTTTTATAAATATTTTCAACTTTTCTTTCTTTTTTTTTCTCTTATTTTTCTTTACCTCTCTATTTTATATTGACTGATTCTTGACTAGTACAAGTAATCCTTAGAACCAGATGATGTTGAGTATTTTGAATAAATTCTAATAGATTAGGTCCTTCTAATGGATGATGACAAGTCAATTAATGGATGAAAATTCTAGATAGTATTAAATCAATAACAAAAAAAAACCAGCAATGCATTGTCAAATATATTTAATCATTTTTCTTTTAGTTTTTAAAAGAGATTATTTACACTAGGTGATCATGTATTTTTCTTATTCCGATTAAGGTAGACTTAGATCAAATTATATAAATAGATAGCCCTTTGTACTATTTCCTTTTTAATGATCTGTAAATTCTCAAATAGTATAGGAAAATATTCATCCCGATTATTCCTAAATATGATCTTTTAATAAGGTGGCCTGGAGCAGTGTAGAATGAGCTAGTGTTTAAAAACCTATTTTCGAGTACTATAATTTTTTGGAACTTATTTCCGGCGATTTAAGTCACGTTTTACATTTTTCCTCATGATCCGGAAATTTCACTCAAATGTAATGTGATGCATGAGCAACACAAAAAATCTCTACTTGTCCACCCAGTGTACGTACCACGGGTTAAAAGATATCCAATGGAAAAATGACGAATATTACATATACAGTAAATAATTAACTTAGCGTTGTCGATTAATCCACGGCCATGAAGTCAAACATCCGTTTTATTAGTTTTTTGATATATCTTTTGATTACCCTTGCCATTGCTCACGAAAATGTCGAGATTTGTGATAAGAATGGTTATTGCTACCCAAAAGTATTTGTACCCACCAATGAGTTTACAGAGGTATTAGAGGGACAGGAAATACCTTCAGGTTCGTTCATTTTTCTCAAAGCATTTCTCGAAGAGATAAACAAACTCATCTGAAAAAACTTTACAACCTACATAAGGTCTCCATATTAAGATCGATTTTAGCACTGGAAAGAAATATGCAAAACTCCTAGATCAAAATGATCCAAGATCTGAAGTGGTTCTGATTGACGAGGAAGGTTCTATTCATCAAGATAGTCATTTAAATCTCGTTGATTCTGGAACTCACGAGTCGCTCGAAAATAATCCCAAAGTCAACATCTATTACAAAGATTCAGTGAACTTTAATAACAATACACTACCAATCATCTCATCAAAACCATCGAAACATATTTCACATTCAGATCATATACTTTTCGATAGTTATGTTTCTCAATTGACTCAATCATCCCAATCTTTGAAAATTATAATATCCGTATTGGATGGTCTGGAAGATTTGGTTCATGAACTCGACTTTGGCATAAAACTGGCCAGAGGTCATGGACTAACGTTTATAGTTGCACTTCTGGGTCATGGTTCGGGCGAAGTAAGAAAGAAAGCCGCTCTGGTCATTGGCACTGCAATGCAGGTGATCGCGTCAATTCAATGTCTATGTATTTACCTTGATCGTGTAACTTTGTGTTATTAAATCACGATTGGATTCCAATCATATTCAGAACAATCCATTGGCTCAAGGTGAAGCACTCCGGATGAATCTTATACCCCAGTTTTTGGATTCTCTTTCCGAAGAGCAAGATATAAAAGTCTCGTCCCGTCTCCTATATGCTTTATCAAGCATCGTTCGTGGAAATAGGCGGGCAATACAAACAGTCAATAGTTATCAAGGACTGTCACGGTTGGCGACCCTATATCAAAAGTTTGAAAACAACGAATTCCGTGCAAAATGTGCGTTGTTCGTTACTGACTTTATAGATCCAAATATGGTCAAAGCGGATCAACCCATGGAAATATACGAACAGGGGAAAGAACAGCAACGATACGGCAGCGATACAGTAAAATCTTTGTTTTTGAATGTTATGGAATTTTGGTGCAAACTGTTTCAGACCACTTTATCTGATAAATCTACAAAGTCAGCGGAAATAGATTTTGATACGGGAGAAAAGATACTCCGGGGTATCTCGATGATCAAGAACCACTATCCCCTGCAATGTCCAGTCCAAGATGGATTTAAAATTTGGTTGTCGGAACAAATAGATGCAATGAAAGATGAAGATTATTTAGAAGATTACATTCGTCTACTGCAACAAGTCCAAGTTCAATATGGATTGAGCTGAAACTTTGTTTTCGGGAACATTTCATTTGAATCATGATTTTAGATTAGGCGTATTTATATACAATCATACCTGCATTGAACAAACCTCTTACTCATGAGTGTAACATTTTTCATTCAAAAAGGTTTATTTAGCATTTAATACAATTTTAATGACGTCATTTAAAACCTTTTTTTAAGTTAGTGTCGAATTTGTTGATTAAAGAAAATAAAGCGCATAATAAATTTCTATTATGTGCTTTTAAGTTGATTAAGAGTTCGGTATTTGATATGAAGAAATGACGCCCAACTCGCACGCCCCTAAATCTCGCAACATGGAACCGTGTCAGCAGAAGAAATATTTACAGAGACTTGCCTGTCTTAAAATAGTACATGATCACTTTACTACCGAAAATACCCGACCGCGTTTTACCTGACCTCTTTTAGGATCTATGGTCCCCTCTCGAAACGCCAACGTTCCGAAATTGATGCAAGGAATAAGATTTCTGGGCAACAACGAAACAATGTTAAAATCTTCATCATGATCCACCGTTCCAACACTCTTGTTAGGTGTCGTGACGATCTTGGGCGCGTAGTCAACAATTTCGCGTAAAGATAAATTTCTGTTCGGGGTCGTTATCTTCCGAGTCGGTGATGGTAAACTTTCGTCGGATGAAGAAAGTTCCTTGCATGTCGGAGAAGCGGGACGTTTACTACAAATAGTGCTCATGGATGTTGTCGAAGGACTTTTAGTTGGTGTAACATTATTATTTGTAATAACCTTAACGTTTAATTCGTTTGAAATGGCTTTATTTCCATTGGTCATAGTCGAACTCTTGCTCAATGACGAACCGTGTCTGTTTAAATTAATCGAATTCTTTCCCGAGGATAAAGGGCTTTTGTTGACCACGACAATCTTTCTGGGAATAATACCATTACTATTCTTGATTTGATTGAAAGATTTTTCTGATAGTTCTGTATTTGTGTCATGCATCACGATAACGTTTCTGCTAGTGGATTCATTTCTACCCCAATCTTCAGGTTTGAAAATATCATCAAAGTTAACCTTGGATATTGGATAATTTTCGTAAAACAATTTGTGAAGTTCAGTTGCGGTTGAATGCCGCTTTTCTGATGTGAGAGGAACAAATGTCAATGCGTTTCTCAACCTTTTTTTTGCGATTATTCTTGATTTATGATTTTGATCTGAATTCGATCGAGAGCGCAACAAAACATCACCATCAATTCCTTTGTCACCACTATCCTGACGGTCACTTACATTATTATTGATCAATCCGTTTGGTAAGCATTTGTTATCTAACCTTTGATGGTAAGATCCTATTTTTTGGTTCGAAGTGGAGCCGTCATCGTCGCTGATATTGATAACGTGTTGATTTTTAATTGACATGCTATGTTCTTCGCAAATCGAAGTCTCTTCTTGTTTTTCACAACAGTTCGACCCAAAATTTCCATATCTTTTATCAGACATTTGGGATGCTTTGGTCTCCCCCCTTCCGGAATGACCAATGCTCTTAGCCGATGGCCCATTCCGGGTTGCCCTCTGACAATCCATGCAATGCCATCTTTCTTCAATATTGTAATTTACAATGCTGTCGCTGATCTTTGGTTCGTGACACATTTGATGGTAGCCTTCTTTGCAACCGACACATATACAAATATAATTGAAATACAAGTCGGGGCCACCGCACACGCGGCAAAAGACGGAATTGCTGCCGAGCTTTCGTCTTTTTTTCTTTGTACATTCAGAACTAGTGCTGTCATCCGTACCAGAAGATACATCAGGCATCCACGAGGAATACTCGTCGAGACTATCGTACTGTTCGTCTTCGTTCGTCCTTACATCTTCGTCTTGACTTGTATCTCCAATTATTGTGCTGAATGAATCGTCTGTTATGGTACTGGAGCCGCGTGAAGTGTCAGAATCACTTTCCGAGCTAGAACTTGAATTAAGCTGATTTTCTTGGTGTCTAGTTTTTTTTACATTGTATGAACTGTACTCCGATTCAACTTCACTGGTCGAGCCAGAGTCATATTCAGGCCAATCGCTACTTTTGGAGTTTGAGTCAGAATCGTACTCGCGGGAAGATGTTGACGAGTTGGAACGTCTGCAAAAGCCATTCGGAGTACTCTAATTCATTTATTTTATTTAAAAAAGCTTTAGAGTTCAAAACATCAAAGAAACTTATTTATTTAACAGCTTAAATTACTAACGAGAAAACCATCTTCTGATGTATCTGTTTCATTGAGTGCATAATCTCCTTGACCGTTTAGGAAATCTGACTTAGTCGTCGTCATTGGAAAAAAATTTAGGTGGAAAATGATCCAAGAATCAATTTCGAAAGAACTAACATACGCAAATCGGTGCTTATCGATAATCAAAAAAATTTAGTGACGATCGATAAATTTGTCCTAGCCGCATTTCACAAAATATCATGCTTTAAATTTAAGCTTTTCTAAAAAAATTTTTTAATATGCAGTATACTGTAAATCGATAACCTACGTTATACATCATTTAAAATTTAAAAAAAATTTTTTTTTTTTTGAGTACCCTTAGCCAGGCTAGATTGTCAGTTTATTAATCAATTGAAAACATAAGTATATTTTCATTCAAGCAGCATATACATATTACAATCAAACTATTATTCTAATCTAACTAACTTGTTGTAAGCATAAAAGTCTCTAAGTTTAACCTTGAGAACAATATTTTACTCTGCAGAGTCTTTGAATAAAAACCCTCCTAGTTCACTGCATTATTTCTAGCAGGTTATCACTATTGTATGTCTCATCAAGCCATTGAAATATAGGAAACTACAAAAGGATGGGTTGAAAAAGGGAAAGAGTGATATTTAAAAATGTTTAAACAGATAATAAAAAAATGAAAAAGTAAAAATTGAAAAAAAAAATTTTCAATTTTTTTTAAAGACCTATTTCTTAAGACCTCTTCTTAATAAGAAATATCCAATTGGGATATTCTTTCTTTCTCTGATCATCTGAGAAATTTATCTATTCTTGATCTTGATTATTTTGTTTTATATTATCTGAAAAAACTTATTATCTAATATAAGTCTTTATTTTCAATAATATACTTAGTTCCAACTTTCTTTGACCAGTGATTTTTTATTCACTTGTGATAAACAGATAACTTATGATAGATTACAGGTTTTTATATGATTCAAAAGAAACTAAACCATGTTGTTTCAATATGATATCTTTTAGAGTTACATTTAATTAAAGAACTTTTATTGATAAATATTTTCTATTTCTCAAAAAACCAAATTTTTCAACAATCTTTTTGCCTTATAATAATAGAAGTGTTTTGAATAGTAATGGGAATTCTCATTGATTTCAACAACTTTTGGAAAAATATATTTTTAACTATAATCAAAGGATTGAAACTTAGTATGAATCAGAAACTATTTAATTTTATTACCTAACTAAGATAAAAAAAAAATCTCAACTTAAACAAATAGTAACTTTTTATTACTTAAAAACTTGTTGCTCATATCTTATTGACCTTATGAAACTTAATCTATAGATTAATCCAATTGAAAAAGTGAGATGGAAATAAGACATCAATCAATTTTTCTTATTATCAATAACATTATCAGAATATATAAAGTAACCAGTAAGAACTTGTTTATATTTAACTACTAGTGTGTTTTATATTTACCAATCATATTTTGTAATAAATTATATTACCTAAAATTTAGGATCAAATTGAGGTAGGCAAAATTTTCCAAAAAATTAAAAAATTTTGAGTAACTATAAAAGAAAAGATACAATAGACAAACCCCTTAAAAATATGGTTTGCTATTTACCATCTTCTACTACTAAAAATCTCTATAAATATACTTTAATATTAAAGGCTTCAAGTATTATACTATTAGTTCTTTTTCATTATAGAATTTTCTTATTATAGGTAAAGAAAGTGTTTTTTGACTTTTTTAAGTTACAAGAAACTAAGTTTTTGTTTGAAAATAAATATAAACAAGAGAGAGGATTTGAAAGTATCTCTTAAAGTAAAACTTCAAGTTGGTTTAAGAATAATATTAAGACTTTATTAGCAAAGAAATAAAATATTTCTTGCAAACATCTTTTTTGTATGTACTGTAGATAGAGGATTAGTAGAAAGAGTTTATTTAAAATTTTAAATATTAAATCTAATAATTAACATTTAAAAATAATTAAAAAATTTTTAATTATATTTTTAAATCAATTATATACAAGATGATATTGTGTTATTAAAAATTTAAAATTAAACTGAAGTAGATAAAATTTCTTAAAAAAACTATAAAAAACAATAGATACTTTAAAAAAATTTAAAACTATATATAAGAAAATAAATAATAAGTCTTTTTTTATCAATAAAATCTTCTTATCATTAATAGAAAAAATATATACTTGAGTTTATTTAAGCTATTAAAGATTCAAGTTTTTGTTTAAAGAAATTTATAAACAAATAAAGAATAATAATAATGATTTATAAAAATAAGTTTCAGATTGCTTTAAAAAATATATAAAGATTTTATTAATCAAAAAGTATAAAAACTTCTTGTGAATATTTTTTTAAGTGTAATTAGAAAATTAGCAGACTAGTAATTTTAATACTTATATAGTATTTTAAATATATAGAAATTAAACTTGTTTTATTTATTTATTTTATTTTATTTTTTAAACCTGTGATTAGGTCAGCTCTATGTATTATTAATTATTAAAAAAACTAATAGAGCTATATAAGACAATTGTATTATTACTAAACTAAATTTTATACTGATTTATTTGTCAATAGTTTTCAATTCTCAAAAGAACTTCAGCTTCTAAGTGAGATCTTGGAAATAATATTTTGCTCTATAATAAATTTTGAGTAAACACTTTTTTAATTTATATATTATTGTCAATAGTTTGTCACTACTTATTATCCTTTAAAGAATTGATTTTGAAAAACTATAATAGAAAAAAAAAAATAAAAGAAAAGGGAATATTAAATATAATAAATATGCTACATAAAAGAAAAAAATAAAAATAAAAGTGCTTTATATTTTTTAAATAATCCCTACTAAAAATATTTTTTTATTAGAATTTAATCTTTCATTAGTTAAAAAAAAATTATTTGGTATACTGTTACTTATATAACATTTGATAAAAAAAAGATATAAATAAATTGACAACTATATAATTTGACTATAAAACAATTTGTCAAAAAATTCATTAACAATTTATCAAATAATTCATTAACTATTTAGCAAAAATTTATTAAAAATTTTTCACAAAATT